TTTTGGTTGTTCTTGTGTAATGGACGAACCCATTGACTTAAATAAGGTCTTAGAAAGTTAAATCAAACCTCTAAACCTAGGTTTATGGGTTTTATGGTGATTTAAAAATTTTAACTAGGGTTTAAATGAACCCTATGTGAGAAATTAAAGTTTTGGGATAATGTGGATAGTTGGTTGATGAGTTTAGCATGTTTAGATGTTAAATAGGATTGTCGAAGTGTGTTGAAAAGGCGGATGTTGTTAAATTTAGATTTTAGATTTTATGGGTACTTATAATCTAGTGATTTTAGGGTTTAATCGAAGTAATAATTAATAATTATGAATTAATTATGTAGATTAAGTGTGCTCGAGTATTATCGTGCAAATGGGAACGTGCAGAGCTAACATTAAACCACATTTTGTGACAAAAGGGTTGAGGTAATGAAATAATTTATACTATTCAATTATATTGTCTAATTGTTTATGAGTAGATATATAAATTTTTTACTTGTGATGTAAAAGCTTTGCACATGGCAAAATATAATTTTATGCATGTGAAATGATTTTCAAATGATAATAATTGTGAAAATCTTATATGAATTTAATGAGAATTGGATAAGAATATGTGTTATGTATGAGATGTGTTAACATGATTATGATAGGGGATGGGAGTTCACTCATAAGAAGGAAAAATGAAAATCCATATGGCATATATCTACTTAATGCTTAGTGAGGCATGGTGTTAAAAATTATCTCCTTAGTATTCAAGTGGGATACGGCATTAGAGATTGATACTCCTTAGCATTAGATATGTGGTGTTACAGTAACAACAATCCAATTCATGTTCGATAGGGGGAGACTATAATCCGAAAGGGGATAGGACACTTTTGGTCGAGTGATCTTACCACTGAGGGTGAGCTTAGGCCATTGTGAATGTGCACTTATTCCAACAACCTATGGTTTCAGTCGAGGTGATATGGAGGTTCGGATGGTAGAAAAATCATGCAAGTGGTAAATAAATTGTGTTCATGGAAATGATATGTTGAAATATGCTAAAAGAGTATTTTTGGTTGTGCATGTTAATTGATAGCAGTGAATTATTCTATTACTAAGATATTTATCTTACTCCGTGATTATATTTTATAGGTGAGGGCTTCAGTAGGGGCAAAGAAAAGAACATAACAACTGAAGAGTGAAGAGCTTTGTATGTATAGCTCTTCTCTTTCTTATTTTGGGTTTGTGATAAATATGTCATGTTGTATGCTAACTTAAGATCATTACATTGTTTTACTATCACTTGTATGAAACTTTGTATAATGTGTGCATATCTCAGCCTGAAATTGTGATGCTTGTGGTTAAGTTGGTGTGAATGGCCAAGATACTAACACAAGTGATCTATTATGTTAACTATGTGTTAGAATGACCAAAATGAATATTATATGGAATTTGATCCACCAATTTGTATTATTGAGAATTGGGATTTTGGTGATCATTTTGAGTATGAATAGTTATTTGTGTGATATGATTAGCTATGTATTTTGTGTGTGGTTCATTTGAGTTAGTCAAAGTGATTCCAGAGCTAATGGCATTTAGTGGTGTGAATTAGACACCTTTGAATATATTGAGGTGAAAACGAACCATTTTAGGTTCAGATGTCCATCTTTTTAATGTATAATTATTTAGATATGAAACTTATGCCATTAGTTAGAGGGCTCGAAGAATCTTAAGGCTTGAATCCACTTTCACCATCCTAGAATCCTAAGTTTAATTCATTTAGTTCTTGTAATTCATTTGACATCAAGTGAAATGCCTAATTACCATTAGGAGTAGTTGATTATAGCTTAGATCAAGACACAATCTCTCTAAAAATTATGCCAAACAATGATTTGACTCTACAATTAGGACTTGCCTTGCCTTGACCACATTTTAACACTTAGAACCAATCAATAAGTAAGTAATTAACTTCAATTTAAGACCTAAACAGAAGCTAATGGTTCAAACATCACCATAAGGATTACACAACAATAACCATTGAAGGATAAATTTAAACATATAATGTGCATTATCCAATTTAAGAATGGAAGCATAGCATCTAATTCTCTTAAAGGAGTGAAATCACCTAGAGGATTCAATCTAACCAGAATTGAATCATCAAACCAACTGTAACAAGAAAATTAGAGTAATTAAAGGTGAATTACATCAAAACCAAAATGAAAAGGAGCTAACAAAACTCAAGTGAAAGTTTAATCTCCCTTGAAGAACTCTAGAAAGAATTCAATCACTCATCTCGTCCTCTTCAATGACTGGTCAAAGAAAACGTCCACGAAGAGCTACCATGGATGCTTGCTTGACAAATCTGTGAGTGAATGACGTGCAAAGAGCTTAACCTGAAGGAGATGTACAATGGTGTGCGATAGGCTAAAACCAAGAGAGCTGTGCGTTTGAGTGTGAAGAATCTCCCCTGGCTGAACTTGAACTAAGAAAGGATGAGCGATGATGAGAAAGAAGATTTCTATCTCATCCGTGTGTGTGATGGCTGAGAGAAGAAGATAAGTGATTACATCTCTGTGGCATATGGTAGCCGAGCTGTGCAATGAGCGTCCGAGCTCCATGGATTGGGGAAGATGTGTTGGCAACAGTGGGTAAAATTATAGCTTGAGTCGTGCTTAAGGACACTATCCTTAAAAGCTATTCCACCACACCAATAGATCGAGCGACAGCTCCTCAATATTAAACAGACTCGTCCTGCGAAATAAACAAGGACACAGAACAACAAAGACTAGCTAAATAAATACTCAGGCAACACAATATAGTATAGAGTTAGAGGAAAGAATTGGCTCAAAAACTCAAGAGCCTGGCACTGGAATCACAACACTCCTTAGTATTTATAGACAAAATGAGACAACCTTTGGACAGCTTGAAAGCATGATTTAATTAATAATTTCATGAACATTATAGCTCATTACACTAATTCATTCTAGCGGTTTCTAAACGTTGCATTTGAAGACAATGAAAGAAATCAATTTTCAGTTTTAATAGCCTTAAATAGTGTTTAATATCATTAATACAAATATTTATTCCTTTTAAAATACTAATATATATTTTTAATATATCTAACACGATGATCATTCCTGTGCACAAACTCGTGCAACAGAGATGAGGTTGAGATGAGTGATGGGCGTGTGTGATGAATCCGTGCCCCTGTTCCCGTTCTTCGATTTTGTTCTTCCCTCTTCTTTCGTGAATGGCTCCACGGAAGATGATCGCGTGTGCATGATTCTGTTTCTCTATTTTCTTCTTTGCTAAATAGTCAAAAAAACTGATTTAAAATAAGAAAAATTTACCAAATTAGCCCCTAAATATTTAAAATCGCAAAATAATCAAAAACTAAATCAATCTAATAAAATTGAACAAAATAAAATCTTAAAAATGAGAATAAAAATTGCCCAAATAATAATATGTGACAAAGAACTGAAATTTCAAATTAAAAACAATTAATTCCAATAAAATGTATAAAATGATCAAAATACTTCTAATGTCAAAACTAAATAAAAAATGAGTCAATGATCAAATTCAGTAACCATGCATATAAAGGTCTAAACTAATAAAATATGGTCACAAATATAAAAAAAATATACAAAATATGTAATTTATCATTCATCAATTGTCTCAAATTTAATTCCTAAATTTAACTCTAACGGGCATATGTAAATTCTATTGTAAAATTTCCAATCAAACCCATAGTCTCATAATTAAGTTCCTAACAAAATAAGGATGTTACATCTGCAACATTAGTTATTATATTGTTAAATATTCGTAAGGACTTAATGGTCATTGATATGTATATAAGCTCTATTACTTTTTATATTAATTCCATAAAGTTATGATTAATTTTATATAAAAATGATTTGAAGGCAAAAAAATTATAATAATGAGCAGGACATTAAATCAAAATGTTGTAAATTATTTTTCTTTTCTTTTTTTGTTTTTTTTTGTTTTTGATTTTTTTTGTTTTTATTTTTTTTCTTTTTGCGGGAAGCACTAAATGTTAATGTCTATAAATATAGGATTACTAAGAATGTTGTAGTAGGATTAGATTTCGTTGTTGTGATGTAAATGTTTTGGAAGCTTTTGTACATTAACGTTAACATCATTGCCTCTTCTGACCTCCATTTGACGATCATCTCCAACATAGACTATTTCGACGGTGTCTTCATCAACCTTTAAAAATGAAATCTGGCATCCAACTCAACTAGGGTCGCTGGGATCCAATGCCTAAATCCCCTTCGCGCGTTTAGCTTCTGATGTGCTTCTACCTTTTCTCATTTAAGTGAAGCCCCAATTTCTTTCTTTCTTGTTTTTTTTAACTTCTGTTCACATAATATCTAACTTATTATAATTTTATCAACTTAATAACAGAATTAACCGAGTTATATATACATTAGTAAATTTAACTGTCAATGATGGCAAACAAATGAAACTTAAGGGATTATGAGCAACCAAAAAAAATATAAATATTAATACCAAAACACGTTAAAAATATAGAAGCAATAGTTATATTTTTCATTCTTAAGTTATCATAACAACATCTATATTTTTGGGGGTTGCCAGCTATCCATGCAACCATGTTCCGTTTCATCAGGTTGCAATAGCCGTGACTTGTGGCACAACGCAAGAGAGGTTTTATGGTTATATGAGAAAATATCAATATATGCAGTTAGAGGGAAAAGATTGCTTTAATGCTATTTCAATTATCAGACTAAGAAGTTGAAAACATGCTGATAGATAAAGTGCTGCTGTAAGCACATTCTGTAATTATCTGATTCATTCATTCTTAAAAGTTAGGCTGATTTTTTTGTAGCCTGATTGAAGTTTACTGCTGACTGACCTGTACATTTTTGGTGATTGTATAATTTCATTAGTTCAGTTTCTGAACCATGTCTATTTGTATGCACTTTGTGCTCCAATCAAGTTTAGACAAACAAGATAATACTGCTCGGATTTTCTAAAAAGAAAGGGGAAAAAGAAATTTAAATACACCGATGGATTGCATGCTACAAGTAGTGTTTTGACAAACCTAGGATTTTTTATGTTGATAATATGATACAATGGAGATGAACCATTTTGCACAATTAATTTTAAGGGGGAAATCACTTCTTCATTTCTCTGCTATAATAACAAGCACCCCATTGCAAGGAATCAAGAATGAATGAGAATGTTGGGAGACCCATCTTATGCTATAAAATCTTTCGCCTTCATTCATTTATGCTAGCTTTTGACATGTAATGACAGCAAATTTAATTAGACCTTTCTTGTATCCTTCCATCATCAATGGCATAGCCAACGCTCCTCTTATGGTTTTGAATCCTGCCCCAAAAGAGTAGCCACATTCAGATCCACCAAATGTTTCAAAACATGAGCAAAACTTAGTAAAGTAGAGATTGTCATCAGAAATTATCATTAACAAGGGTATGCTTGCCATTTGCCAAGCACAATCTAGTCCTCATTTGAATCACATGTTCTGCTCAGATATTTTCAGGTAAGTGTCATTATACTATGCTGCGTTTCTAATCTAGGTCATTTTATTAAAAGAAAAAAAAAAATCTCTAGAGATAGAGAAGGTAACGGAAATTCAAACCGCTTCATAAAAAATTATGGATTAAGTTATTCAAGAATAGATTATAGACTATAATATATGAATGATAGATGTTCTAGCAAAAAGTAGGTTTGACATGTGTTGATCGACGGATTTATCAAAGATATCTAAAAAAAAATATTGTTAACTACTACAGATTTAAAAGGTTACAAGGCAAGGGAGTTCTTACCACTGCGCAAGAGTGATGTAAGTCCTTTCCATGTCAAAACTGAGCGTATGACTGCTGGCCAAAATGGAGCCACAAAGGGAGACCAATCTGCTGATCTGATGTTCTGCAACAGCAAGCAAGCATGTCATATTTGCACAGTGCACACAGAACCTTATATCGTCCATGCTCCATTCATAGACTAAGCAGGAGATAGGTCATGTCATGCCCAAGACTTTCGTGAACACGGAAGACTAAGTAACCACATGACTCTCCTCAATAACTGAGTTCCATCCTTAGTTAACTACCTGAAGTGACAGAGACTCAAGCAATCTGACATAATCAGCAGTTGAGCACCAGGCTGGGAGATAATATGAATCACATATCTTTTTCAGGAGATTTTCCTCCCACGGCGTCAGAGATTCTTCAGAAGGGCCGATATCCCTGTGGCACCATGTTGCGATTATTATTGTGCCACCCGGTGCTGCTACTCGAGCTAACTCACCAACAAACTGTCAGTAGGTTGTGACATGAAGAAATTGATATGAGATTACCACTTACCAGCACTTTGAACAAAAATGGAGATTCAAGCATACTTGCCATGTTAGTGTCAGATGGAACTAAAGAATTTCATAAAGATCAGTCCATTCATGCTAAATATATACTGGAAGAGAGAAAAGAAACCTTTGCTTTGTCAGGCATATGTTCTCCACTCTCCATGGACCACACCAGATCAAACTGCCCATCGAGGAATGGTTGCTTTAAAGCATCTGCAACTTGAAAGGAAACCTGCTTTCGCAGAAACAGGAAGGTAAAGATGAAAAAGGAACTACATTGAATACATCCTATAAAAAAGAAAAAGAAAAAGTCAAAAACGTTGGTTTCTTAAAATTTTTTTTTTTAATATCGATTTTAGGCAGCAAGCATAAAATGATTAATGAGAAAAAGAAAAGATAAGAAAAGAAGAAAAAAAAGAAAAGATCAGCAGAGACCTGGTCAGCTAATCCTTGGGCAGCAGAAAGAGCGTTTGCTCTAGTAGCTTGAACAGGACTTAGAGTGATGCCTATGCTCTTTGCCCCAAATTTCTTTGCCATGTATCTTGAACTGCCACCTATGCCACATCCAACATCAACAATAGCCTTGGGCCACATGGTTGGGTCCTCTAGCCGTTCCGAGATGAAACTAGGAGTTAGTGCCCTTTCATCTCCAATGCACAACATCATATTCAGAGAAATCAGGACTAAGGAGTAAGTACCCAATTCCAACTCCTTTTAGTTTATTGTGATATTTACAGGCTATTGATCTATTTTTTAAGGAAAAATAATAATAAGATTGACATAATCACTTTTCCAAATGAGAGACGAAAAACGTTTGGCAGAAGAGTTGATGAAACGGGTTAAAACATCAAGACTAAAAGAAAAATTAGTTGCTGAAAATAAGCCTCTTCACATAACCATTTTAATATTGCGTAAGTTTTGAGTCTTGTTATATCTTCCCAATTTTTCTATAATCTAAATTCATTAAAACAAATATATAAATAGCTTGTTCTACATTTTGCCAGCAGGGTTTTCATTGACTACAACTTTAGATTCAAAATTGCCAAATTCCAGTCTCTTTCTTTCCCTTTTTTTTTTTTTTGGCTTTAGGCATGCTTCATTGGCGATTAAACCAAGAATACGGGTTGGGTTGGTTAGGCTACTCGTTCAAACGTTTTTTTCCTGGCTTGAGCTTTAAAAATTATAAGCTTTTTTTATGTATTAAAGGACTTTCGGGTCTAACCCATATATGCTCAGGAAAAGCACAGACTATCCGTTTAAAATCGTTTTATTTTATTTTATTTTTTTAAGTGTGAAACGCAAAACACAATCGAGTTTATTTCTGTTTCCAACTTCAAACACGAATTTCAATCTAACAACAACCACAAACAACAAAAACAAAGCTTATCCCACCAAATGATGTTGGCGATATGAATTATATAATGTCACTGTACTTTCTCATCAATAAGTTTTTAAAAATATTATTAATTATTAATATTAATATTAATTAAAAAGTCTCATTCAGAGACTTCTATAAGTGTTCCTTTTGTCATCCTCAACCCCAGGCATTTCAAGCTAATATAATAAAAGGAGAGAGTGATAATTAAAGACTTTCTAAAAAAGTTAATACCTAATACTACATCAAAACTTTTAAAAGATTTTCAGCATTGAAATGTAAGACCATGAGTGCTAAATTTAAAAACCTAATTATGATGAGATCTTGATTTGACATTAATTTTTGGGAGGATGACAATTAAATCCCAAAAGAAGAAATTTATGACAGTTAAATTCTCAACAAATTTTGTTAAAAAAATTAATTATAAATATCAATTCAAACAATTATAAATTTAAAAGTTTCAATTGTAAATAAGATATTTCAATTCTACATATAACAATCAGCTTACAATTTGGATTTCCATATTAACTATTTACAAAATTAGTTTGCAATTCGAATTCCTATTTAATTTATAATTAATTTTCAATTCGGAATCCTAAATATCATTAATTTATTCTTTTCGACTTTACTGTCATTCTTCCTTAATTTTTAGTTAAAATGCACACAACTTTAAGCAATTGCATATGACCCCATCATCTTTTAATGTTTAAAATTAACTCCCCTAATATTTAATTTTATTTTTCAAAACTCATTACTATTAATTAATTGCTATTTTATTAATATTGCTATTAGCATGTCATATTAATGTAATATATATGTCAAATGACATGAAAAAATATTTTTTTATTATTTTTTAATACAATTTAAAGAGGGATAAAATTGTAATTTTTGACATTTAACACACATGACGATGCTCTTATTTCTTTTAATTAAGTAACATTATTCTTATAGCTCACGGATAACACAATTAAAAAAAATTATAATTTTATTATTTTTTATCAATTAAAATAACATTTTATATTAAACAAATGAAAAAAAATTTAAAATTGTTTAATATAAAATGTTGTTTTGATTGATAAAAAATAATAAAATTATAATTTTTTTTTTTAAATTGTGTTACTTATCAACAATGGGAATAATATCATTCAACTAAAAAAAATGACACCATCGTCATATGTATTAAAAGTACAAATTATTATTTTTTTTCACTTTAAATTGTGTTAAAAATAATAATAATATTTTTTTTATATCATATGCCATGTGTATTGTATTAATCTTATATGACAATAAATATATTAATAAAATAACAATTAATTAATGGCAAGAGTTCTGAAAAATAAAATTAAAAATTGAGGGGGTTAATTTTAAATGTTTATAGGTGAGGAGGTTTATATATAATTATCTTAAAATTTAACGAATTTTATATATTTAACCTTAATTTTTTTATGAGGCTCTTCATTGTCGTTCTCTAATATAAAAACTGAGGGCTTGTTGATAATCCAATATTCTGTAATCTTTAATAAAAAGAATGAGAAATTTGACAATATTGAAGTCACCACATGCTTAAAGGAATTAAACGATATTTAATTTTGTTTTACAATTTGAACTTCTGAAAGATTAAATATTAAATATTATGTTTAAAGAGTTGAATTTGTATTATTATATTGAAAAAACATAATCATTGATGTTATAGTTATATGGGATCTCACAATCTTGCTCAAATTATAGAAAATAAAAATATTAAAAAAAGTACAGAAATTAAAAGCAAATCAAGCTGCAGGGATGATAACTGTATTTTCGACGTTATATTTGAAGTGCAGAGACTAGATAGTACCAGATACACCAGCAAAACGAAGGGCCTCCTCAATCATCCGGACCTGAGCAGCCCGGTGGTCGGAAACAGAAACGTCAGAACCGGGGTCGTAAAAGCCGTGATGCATATGGTCACCCCAGATGTCTTCCCAAATGACAGAAGACTCATCATAGAACTCAGCGATGCCCTTCCGCAGGAACTCAGGGTCCATGTGGCGGCTGCTTGCTCTTGCTGCAAAGCGGGTAGAGCCCCAGGATCTGGATCTGAGGGCGAGGGTTATACTGACAGGCGTTTTACTCGGTGTTGCGACTGATGGAAAAGATGAATAGGACAAAGGACTGGAGCATAGGAACGCGGTGTTGGTAGCAGTCATGGCTCACACAATACCTTTTTCCTTTTTGGCCTTTAGTCTGAACTGCGATATGAACTCGCTTCCCTCATTGCTCGAGATGGGGATACAAGCGGGTCCGCCGTAAAGGGCCTAGTCTTCATGGGCCCGATTTTTAATCTTAAGGTTTGATTTTTTAAATTTTCATTGAATCTTGAGAATCACTCTTATTGAAAGTCTAATTTAAAAAAAAAATTAATATTATAATTTAATGTTGTTTTTTCATAAAAATAATTTAATTTAATTTCATAATATTTAATATTATAATTTAATTTTAAAATTTAATGAAAATTAAATCAAAGTCTTACGTAATCTATAAAATAAACAAAAAATTTTAAAATTTAAATATATGTTAGTTGATGTTATCATAATTCACAATAAAGTTTTAAAAATAAATAAATAAGGAATATCAATATAATTTTCACAAAATAAGATGAGAGATTAATCAAATTGAAATCTTAAAGTGAGTATCAAATTAAAATCTCAAACATCCATGGCCTAAAAAAAGGTGCATGCCAAAAGAGAAATTACCTGAAAGTAAAAGAATAAAAAAAAAACCAAAAAAATAGAATATCAAAAGGGGGACACCAAGTCAAGAGACACTAAGTCAAAAAACAAGATGGAGAGGTGAGTCAAGAGAAAGAGAGCAAGAAGGTGAGCAGAGTGACAAGAGAAAGAAGTGAGAATAGCTAGATGGTAAGAGGGAAAGATTGAGTAAAAAGACGAAAAGAGTTATAAAACTTGAAATGATAGAATGCTTTTGATTTTTTTTTCTTTTTCCAAATGGTGTGTTATAAGGTAGAAGGGAAAAATAGAATAAGCCTTGGAAGGCCACCCACTTAAGTTTTTTTTTTTTTAAGGCTTATTAGAACGGGCCTAGAAGCTTAATAATCCTAAAAATTTTGTATTTTTCAAACCCGAAGCTTTATTTAAATAGGGATTTTAAGTCCAATCCTATAGATATAGCTCTTATTTATGACTCTACTCATTACCTGAAACCTCTTATTATTGATAAATAATAACAGTAGTTATAATTATTTATGCGATACTTCATTTTAAAAAGTACCTCACCAGTGGGCAAGAAAAAAAAATTTAGCACCTATTTTTTATTTTTTAAAAATTTTTATTTCTGAAATAAAAAATATTTTAGAACTTATTTAGATAAGTATTTTTCATTTAATTATTTTAAAATTATTTTAATTTTTTATTTTTAAAAACAAAAAAACAGAAACAACTTTAAGTTTTTTTATTTTATTTTTTTATTTTTAAAATACACTTTGATTGTTGAAAATTATAATTACTTTAATCAATTTTGGTTGTTAATCATCACCATTAACTACCTATGACTTTTACTATCAATTCAATTTTAATTCTAAAACTATTATTTAATTGATATAACCAAATATATTTTTGGTTTATTTTATTTTAAAAATAATTTTAAAAACTATACTATAAAATAGTTTTTAAAAATAAAAAATAAAAGTAGAAATCAAACAGGCCATTACTCTCGCCGCATTCGTTTCAAAATATATAATATTAGATATGTATTATATATATATATATATATATATTTCAATTATATTCTCATTTTATTATACTCTATTCATGTAATTAATAAAAAAATTTCAGTAAATCAAATGTTATATTTATTATAATCATAAGTATATGAAATTTTTTAAAAACAATTAAAATTTTAACTAATTTTTTTTCTAAAAATATAAATTAGTTAATAATGACTTATTTCTCTAATTATATTTATGAGTAACTTTTAATATATTTTAAATTTTAAAATTCATTAATTGTGTTTAAAAATTTGACAAATTGTTAACATTGTCTTTCTTGAATATATAGTACCTATATGTGTGTGTGTGAGTGTATATATGTATGTATAACTTCATCCTTATTGACATATATAGATATTAATAATATATTTTCTCTTACCTCTATTTATTAGATGACAAAAAAATTTTTGATAAAAAATTAGTGATGTAATTTATAAATAAAATAAAAATTTTTTATCTTTTTATCTGATAAATAAAACCAGAATGTATGCCTCATTTTTCTCATCCTCTTTTAGCAACCCTTACCCATACCCGCTATTTGGATCCACTCAATACTCTTTATTAAATAATAAATTAAATAAATAATTTATAAGCCAAATGGACGGACGGAATTACGTTCCTTACCTGCAATTGTTTGTTTTTATCTCGAAGCAAAGCAAGAAAGAAAAATCACTACCAGATTCCCCCCCTTTCCCTCTCCCCTTGATTGAATGGCCTGAGCATAAAAAGCAAATTAATCAAAATAAAACACATGTATCTTACCATAGATCTCGAAGTCTCGAACCAATCATAAGCAAAACTCAAATCAAAATTTAAAATGAAAGACGTGAGGATACTGCAGACCTGACAACAAAATGTATATACGCAAAATAAAAATTTTAATTAGTATATACATACCAACCTGTTTGGCAGTAATTTTACGAGGGCTTGCCAGAAGAGCCTGACCTAAAAAAAAATGATGTACATTATTTCTAAATCAAACAATGGATTTCTAAAGTCCTTCACTATAATTTTCTTAGAGGCAAGTATTTAAAAATAACAAAAATGAAGAAATAAATATGAAAAAAAAAATGAGAGACTTGTATGATAAAAGCAAACATAATACTGAAAATAGTATAAGTAAAATTACATGAAATAAAAGATGAAATTTTTTTAAAAAAAGCATAGGCACGCAATTACTACTATTTCATAAATACCTGGTGCTTTGTTGGTTGCTAAAAGCCTTGCTACTTTTTGCTAAATGCATGATATTCTAAAGGAAGTATGTCAAATTTGTTGAAGAAGAAAGAGTCTGGTTTTGTCAGACTATGTATTGAAGCAATTGGAGTGTTTTTGAGTCAATAAAAATTAGAATTGTTGAAGAGATTGGAGAGTTTGGCATGTATGTGGTGACTTCTTTTATAAGCATAAAATAACACATTTTTCTCGGGCTTGATGCTTTTTAAGGATCATTAGCTGCAGTTTTCTCCCCAATTTTATCCACCCTTTGTCATTTCTGAAGTGGTGTATCAATTCTTCTTAACCCAAATAGCTGAGCTTGGGACTAAAATTAAATTTTAGCACCAAAACAACCTTTGTTAAAAAAATCAATAAATAACTTATTTTTGAAAAAATTTCAACTATATATTACATAGGTTTTTATCTCATTTCAAAATATAATATTAATTTACTTTATCCCATAATATCTGTATTAAACAATAATAAAAACATGTTTTTTTTTGGCCAACGATGATAAAATATGTTCAACCTTTTCATCGTAGTATTATTTTGTTAAAATTATAAATTTAGTGTACTTTTTGATTGGATAAGTTTAGGTTATGTCAAAATCATACAAAACCCACATGGATCTAAAGTGGATGCCGCAAATGCAATTATTAATGGCGTTAATGATGTTTTTGGTCAAGTTGGATTATAACTTATTGATGGCTTAGTGTGACATATGCATGTTATATAGATGACAGGGATAAAATTTTTAAAAAATGAAAAAAAAATTAAATTTTAAGTGAGTAAAAAAATATAAAAATTTAGTGTATTGAGTTATAATTGAAAATTGAGTTATAACTTTTATATTAGATGAATTAATCAACTGATAGAGAATATATAACTTAAAAATATGATTCAATGGTGGGTGAGTTAATTATATGTTCTTCTCTATAAAGTCAATGACAACCAAGGAAAAAAGAATGCATGTAGATAGTATGTGATGGTACGCATTCTCAATATCATCTCACCTCAAGCACTATAGAGATTTTTTCTACGGTTGACATGACCTATACATTTACCAATAAGGAATTAAGAGGCATTTAATTTTGTTGATAGGCAAGCTATTTCAGAAACTAGTAAACTTAGAGCTCATTTTTTTCTCTATTATTGTGTTTTAATTATAATGTACATCATCCAAACTACAATATATGTCGTTATTAATTAATTCACAATTTATAAAAAAAATTAATTGACACTTTGATTTCCTAAAAATGTCTATATCTTGTCATTTATGTCCTTTCAAGAATTTCTAATAACATGTGCATAGTTTTTAAATATTGAGTACTTAAAAGCAAGGGTATAAATGGAGAGAAACATAAAATTTATCCAATGTCATATATTTTGGATTAAGAAATGCTTCTAAAAAGTGACTTATATTATAATATGGAGGGAGTATTAATTGTATAATAAATTGAGTAATTAATTCAATTGTAAGTAGAGGTGGGAAAGAACTTTAGTTTTGTAGTTTTATGATTTTAGGGTTAAAGAGAAATTTAGCTCCTAAATTATAAGTCCAAAATATAACATCTTGAATTTTAAATCTCATATTAACAAGTTAATGAAAGGTAAATTAGAAAATTTGTGCATTAATTAAGTCAAGGGTATTTCCAGATGACTAATGGGCCTTTTAGACTTATTAGCAACTTTAGAATTGGGTTAGGGAGTGTATTACTATATTGGGCCACCTGGGCCCAATTGAAGTACAACACATTCATACTTGGGCCTCTATGCCATCCACCATGGAAGACTGCACAATGTGCCATATTGAATTGCTTAAAATTCTCAAATCAAATTAAGCTCAAAAGAAAGAAAGAAAGAAGAGGAAGAAAAGAAGGGGCAAACGGAGATCACTTGAGGCTCTGCTAATGCATTACTTGGCCATTATTTTGATGAGGTTTAAGGCCTCTAACCATTAAGGTAACCTTCTCCTCTCATTCCTGGTCACCACCATTACCTCTTCATATTCTGATACATCTTAGTAATTTCAAGATGGATTGTGTACTTTAAGGTCTCACTTACTAATCTATAATTATCTCCAAAAATCAAAGTAATTATGAGAATAACCCAAAAAGATTTTTAAGTTTGTAAAATTTTATAAACAGGATCCCAAGTTCTAAAACTTTCAAAATACATTAATATACTTTTACTAACCACAAATTCAAGTAAAATAAGTTCACGAAAGCATGTGATATAGTTTTACAACAAGGTATTTCCATTTTTATTAAAAAAAACCAT